TGGTTGAGGATTAAGATGGAAGAAGCCTGAATTCCCAAGGACTTTGTGGAGCAGAATCATCGTGTTACTTTCTGAAATGATACATCACTTAACCTGAGTGAAATAATTTTCTAGACTGTTTAAATAATGGTTAAGCCATGTTTAAATCCTGGTTATTTGGAGTTTATTTACATGTTCAGAGAGAAGCAGTTACAGCAGTAATCATGAATTTGTGAATCATAAAATATTATCACAGCCTGCACCTGTGTATTTGGTTGAAGAACAATGATCGACATAACCCTAGTAAAGTCATATGCAAAAGTCACTATAACTGTAGCATAGAGATACACAAAAGGCTAGTATTTCAGAATAAAGAAATACGTGAAGAAAGGCAGAGTCCTACAAATGTGTGATGATTTGGGAGAAGCAGCATAGTCACATTTGAATTGAATTTGGAATAACTGGTAGAACTGAAGTAGAGATTATGCTACATATTTTATTTGAGATATTAATGAATGCTTTGAAGAATTATGACAGTGAAGAACTTGCACATCATCCTCTAGGCAATGAACAGAATCAACCTTTCTCACTTAAGATAAGCTAGGTTTTCTAGGAAAATAAAGCCCAACAATATGAAAATTTCAGAGATCAGATAAAAGGAAACTGCAATGTCCCAGAAGAGAATATAAGGCTTAAGAAGTGCAATAGATATAAAAACAAAATTACTTCAAGATGCTATGCACATGTAAAACTGGCAAAGTTTTTCAGAGAAAGTTTTTATTGTTCTCTTTTTGATGTTTAATCTTGTACCTCACACTTAGTAAGTAGACAGGAAATACTTGTTAAATACATTCCTGATTGTAAAAAACAACTCAGTTGAGAGTACATATTAGTGGTTTTATACTCAATTGTAATTTATGGCTATGCAATAAAAAATCTATTACATATATACACTGTTACCTTTAAAAAAAAACAAAACACTCCTTTAGTATCTTTCATTTAAAAGAATCTTAAAATGTCTCCATTGATAAAATTCCTAAATGTTTTACAAGTCTAAGTATATATAACTGTGTACATGCACTTTCTGGAAGTTAGAAGGGCATTCTACTTTTATCTCCTGGATTATATAGGGAACATTGATTACCATTTTATTTTGCTCTTATTTTCTTTTATCTAAAACCATGTAATAAATGCATATGCTTAGACCATTGCATTTAAGCAACTAGACAAAAAAGCTAATATAAAAATTATGCTTTTTTCACATTATTTATTGTCTTGCCTGACTTGTCAAGAAATCTTAGTCTCCTGACACCCATAAACATTTCAATAAAAACATAATGTCACAAGCAAGTCTGTTACAGTGAAGAAATATGAAGAAAGTGTAGTTAGTGGGAACATAATTAGAATAGCTTAGAGCAAACATCTTGATTGCTAAATATTTAGGAATATCAATTAGAACAATTTGAAAGGCACAGATAATTTAAAACTTTACAAATAAACACTGCATTTGGCTGCAGATTACCTGGGTCTTCATGTTCAAAAAAAGAATAAAAGTGCATCTTCATTAATCTGTGGTGCTGTCAACAGAATCTACCAGTAGATTCTGTGATCTGGTTTCTTACATAATCAAGCTGCTGGAAACATCTTTTCTCTGCTATATTATGTAATGGGCATAACATTTCAATGTTGAAGCATCCCTTGTGGTTGGTTTAAGCCAATGTGTAGCTTAAACCTACACAATCTACTGATGTAGGTGACCTGAGACCTCCCAGGTTGATTTTCCGCACTGACTGCCTCTTGCAGTTGTACGCTTGTTCCAGCTGGCCTTTTAGGTGGCAAAAGCAACCCCTTCTTACAACTTTGCTGAGATGTAAGACACGTGCACCCATGTCTCCAGGGTCTAGCCTGCTTAGTGTGATAAAGCTGAGGACAGTTGACAAAACTGTTCTATTCATCACGTATAATTTTTAAGAGAGGGGTTCTTTGAAATAGTGAGTTGTAATGTGTATTTGTTATCTAAGACTGCCATAACAAACAGCCACAAATTGGACGGCTTAAACAAACAAACAAACAAAAACTATCTTCTCCCAATTCTGAAGGCCAGAAGTCTGAAACCAAGGTCCTGGCAGGACCCTACTTCCTACTTCTGTAGAGACTCTAGGGGAGAATATATTCCTTGCCTCTTACAGCTTCTGGTGGCTCCAGGGGTTCTTCAGATTGTGGTTGCATTACTGCATACTCACATTGCCTCCTCTTCTCTCTTAAAACTCCCCCTGCCTCTCTCTTATAAGAATACATGTTATTGCATTTGAGACCCACCCAGATAATTCAAGATAAGCTCCTCCTCTCAAAATCCTTAACTTAATTACATATGTTGCCTTGTAAGTTAATATCCACAGTTCCCAGGGATTAGGACATAGACTTACCTTTTTCAGAGGGCACTAGCTAGCTTTCTAAAATATATATGATTTATTTTCAACCTAAGCCATCCTTTACTCTCTCTGTATTCACTTTTTTTCTCATTTAAAAATTATTTTCAGATATTTTCTTTCATTGAATCATTAATTCTTTTGTTCATCCTTCATCTATTTAATCACTCTAGAGTTACTGGTTTTCTTTTCTAGATCAAGCAATGTGATGGGACATAATGGGGTATAACATAGAATGATATTCAGTCATATCATGAAAAAATAAGCCCAGATATTTTGAAGTATTGAAGAATATGTTTTTCCAGAGTTAAATATTGAGACATTTTGAATCTTTGATAAACTGAAATGCATACTCCAGTTAAATCCTGTGCTGTAATATTATAGAACTATTAAAATGGAAATATTTATGTCTACATATTAATATATAAGTAATATAGGTAATACTTGGAATTTCAAATTTACAAATGGGCTTATTCTAATAAATCAATATGCTACATTAACCTTTAGAACTTGTAAAACATAGCCCATCGTAGAAGATGAAAAATGGCATCTGGGTTTCTACTAAAGCTCATGAAGCTCACTTAAACCACATAAAACTGCTGTGACTTCACTATTAAAATATGAATACATAAAACGTATACAAATGCAAAGTATTTTTTAGTATTATAGTTAATTATCTTTAACATAGATAGTATACTACAAGCTAGGCTCATCACAGTTTCCAAAATACCTTGGCTTACTTTCTTCTTTTTCCTAGCAGGAAAATATTCTCACACCTCTTCTGACATCTAAGTGAACACAACTCTATTCTTTTAGCCCCTTACTTTAACATACATCATAAACATAGAATTTTAAAAGAAAAAAGAAAAGAGGAATAATCTTTTAAGATTTCCTGTGAGTTAATACAGGTATAGATGTCATTGCCTTTTAGTTTGATTCTATACATTTTGGTGTATAATTAGATCAAGTCTACTTTGGGATGACTATACAAAATTCATGGTAAGTGGAAGAGTAAAATAATTGTAAAAAATAAAATTTAAAATGTTTTTAGTTAATTTGAGTCTCAGAAGTAAACAGCATTATCTTGAAAGATTTGTTTTGTGCATTAAAAATATATGGATCTTTGTACACTTCTATTCCATGGCTCTCTTATGTTAGATTCAAAATTTTGAGTTATGAGAAATTCATAAGGAATACTAATCCTGATATGCTTTAGTAGATGAACTAATTGGTGTTTCAAAGTTTCATCCAGACATCTGATATGCTTTCCTAGATTAGACTAGCTAATATTACATTTCAGAAAGCAAAAATGGCTAAAGGCAGTTCATAATTAGAAAGTTCCCTCACAAGTTAGAAATTATCACTTATAATTTATGCTATTAATAAGTTTTAAGTCTGGAACCTTTTAATCACTTTTATGACTTCTTTTTAGATAATACACAATGTCTAGTTTCTTTTTTTACTACTATGAACATTTCAACTATTACAACTAACTACCTATGACAAAAAAAAAATGAGGAGTATTTTCTTTTAATGCATTCCTAATTTGTCACTCAAAAATAATGTGCAGTATATAGATTATAAAAACAATGTAAATAATTACATCAGTCATAATACAGATGGAATGTTTAAAAGACAATGACATCAAAAGTCAATACTTCTCCCTAATTTACTATCTGTCAGATACAACTCTACTGCTTTTTCTTGAAATATTTGTAAACATATGGCCAGTCAAAGACAAAATTGAAAGTTATCAAATATTGAGAGGTAGTAAATAAATACATACATGAATAAGTAAATAAAAGAAAAAAATTCTGGTAATAAGAAAACCAGAGCAATTATCTATTCACATGAGATTTGAAAAGAAAAAAAAAATTTGCAACTTGATCTAATTAAAGCCAGCCAACACCACAGTATGTCTCATTATTACTGAAATACTCTAAATAACTGATATGGTTTAGCTCCGTGTCCCCACCTAAATCTCATGTGGCATTGCAATCCCCACATGTCAGGGGAGGGCCCTGGTGGGAGGTGATTGGATCATGGGGGTGGATTTCCCCCTTGCTGTTCTCGTGATGGTGAGTGAGTTCCCATGAGATCCGATAGTTTAAAAGTGTGTGACACTTCCCCCTTCACTCTCTCTCTCTCTTTCCTGCCATCATGTGAAGTAGGTCCTTGCTTCGCCTTTGCCTTCTGCCATGATTGTAAGTTTCCTGAGGCTTCCAAGTCATGCTTCCTGTTCAGCTGGCAGGACTGTGAGTCAGTTAAACCTCTTTTCTCCATAAATTACCCAGTCTCAGGTAGTTCTTTATAGCAGTGTGAGAATCGACTAATACGATAACCTACCTCCTCCTCACTAACACTACTAGAATTCAGATAAACTTCTATGTAATTTTGTAGGCCCGTGCACCCTTTATACTATTAAAATAAATTTGACTTAAAAATAAATGTGTAGAAGCTCTAACTTGAGTAGTCAAGCTGTTCTATGCTCCATTGATTTACAAAGTGTTTTCATTCTTATATTGGCATAGCTCTAAACTCTCTTGGTCTAAAAAAACAAAACATATAAAAAGAAAATATCTGGAATCCTACCTGTTACAAGAAAGCTGCATCTCCCAGCTCCAGCTTCATTTATGATGCTACAGTTATAAACTCCATAGTTTTCATTGGAAAGACTCTTCACAGGGTACTCTGTGTATTCCTGAGAGTCAAATTGACCCGTCCGTAATAATTTATTGCCCAAGCGCCACTCGTAGGTCAGCACCCGTATTGGATAGGCTCTCAGTACTCTGCAGCTCATAGTGACACTTCGATCCTGTCCTTGCCGGATTTCCAAGAATGCTGGTTCCACTGCAGGGGGATCTGTAGAAAAGATATGTAAAAACAGATGAAAGATGTGACTTGCAATAAGCCAAAAGCTACTCTTATTAGAAGAAGCTATTTTTAATAACACATGCAGCAATAGAGGAGGAGTGTGAGAAGTGAATGAAGAACACATTTAAGCCCAGAAATTTTAGCTTGGGTTGGGAAATGTGATTTCCTGAGGGTAGGAAGTAAATGAGTCTCCTTGCTTTACAAATGCATTTGCAGGTGAAACTACTAGAGCTGACTGATCCTTCTTACCTCTTTCAGCAAATATTTTTAAACTTACCTATTAATTCTAATATTATCAATATTCTCCTCTTTTCTTTTTTGTTTGGGGCCCTTTGTTTAAAAGTGGTAAGAATTCCTTTTTTAATGTAAAATGAAAAGATTCCTCCCTTCATTCACTTCATGGTCTGATACCGAAGGCAGCTATTTAAAAAGCTAATTTACAAAACTGTATGAAAAATTATTCTACAGTGCTAAGTAAATAAGAATTGAATGACAGTATGAGAGTTGACCAGGCAAATATGTTACAAAAATGATACTCAGTTGTGTCTTCAAGAATATACAGGGAATGGTCAGGTGAGTAAGCAGTAAGAGAAAGTATTCCAGGTAGAGAGATGTGTATATTCAAAGGTACAAAATCTGAAGAGGAAGGGATGTTCAGAGAAATGCAGATGGATTAGCATAGCTGATGCACAAAAGAAGACCATAAGCGCTTGGGGGGAAATAAAGATGAAGAGAAAGAGACTCTATTCAAGGAATGCATTTTCTTGGTATTGAGGAGATCTTCTAAAATTTTTAAATAAAGGATTTATATGATCAAATTAATTTTTTTTTTTTTTTTTTTTTTTAGGAAAAATATTGTGGTAGATAGGAAAAGCAGAAACCACAGAGGGAAGAGACGAGTTGCAAAAAAATTAAATCACTCTTGAAAATCTGAACCAAGGTGAGGTCAGTGGGACCAAAAATGATGCCTTAGGCAATGAAGGGGATAATAGCGCCAGTCATGAAGACAGCGAGGAAAAGGAGAGGTAGATCGATGTACGTTTAATGTGTCAATTTTATGCATCTGTCAATCACACATCCAGAAGCAGTGTTTCTTCATTTCCAAATATATGCGTAACATTTTATTTTCTCTTTGCTTTTGATTTTTTGCTTAACTGAACTGTAGTCAGATAAAATAGTCCACGTTTTCAATCCTCTGAATTTGTTAACACTTGCTGTATGACACAATATACAAAAGATTTCTGTTCTTGGTGTGCTCGCTAAGAAGGAATAGTCTGCACTTTTGAAGTGTGATATGTATCTATTGGGCCGA